TCAAATGAGAATCAAGATTTCTAACCCTCTACAATCGATCAGTTGCACCTGGTCTTTGTGAACCTCCTTGACAAAGGCTCTGTTGTTGATGCTGGCTACATAGCAAGAATACACCTTCATAGCCAGCAACATCTTGAAAACCTGGACTGAGACTCCATTTTGTGCTCTCTGGTTCTCAGGTGTTCTAGGCATACTTCAGTGGTTCCTTATCCAAAAGAAGAAGTACATCTTGCCAGGGCTTTTATAGAGAGGGGAAGCATTGGAACTCATACTTGGCCACTACAGATCCCTTGCTATGAGACAGCTTTTGGCAATGGTGTATATATCCTTAATGCTGTGCTGTTACATCAGTTTTTCTGCAAAAATCTGTAGATTTTCCAGAATTGCCATTTAGGGTCTGAAGAGACTTGTTTAGCAAGAACTGTTTGGTTGCCACAGTAAATACACCATACTATGAGATGTCTTGTCTTTGCCTTTGTTTACAGGCCATTTGCTCTAAAGAAACATTGAGGTTCTATGCAGTAGATATATTAATTTTTGCCTTTATGGATTCTTACTCCCAAACTTGAGTTATAACTTATAAAGTCCTTCACCTGCTCTCTACACCCCCCTCGCCCCAAAAAACCAAAAGAGACACTGAAACTCTTTTCTTATGCTTACCTAATGGTTGACACTTAACATGACTAAGGGTTTACACTTAACATGACTGACATCTATGACTATATAAATCATATAAATAAACCATATAAATGAGATAATGACTATAAAAATCAGTGGCCATTAGCCTTTACTGCAAATCAGAATCACCTAGGGAGCCTGTTATACATAGAGATTCTCGAGTTCCACTCAGTGGATCTGAGGTGGAGCTCAGGAGTTTACATTTTTAACAAAGTTCTCTGGTGATTCTACATGTGTCAAACTAGCACACACGAAAAATGAATTAATAAAATGAGATAAGGTTAAATCTCTATGGTGTTCCTTTTAGAACTGCAAGTAAATGCTGCTAGGGAAGTAGAGTCCACTGTAATTTATGTAGACAAGATAGGAACTCTTGGCTCAGCTGTTATTTTTTTACAATGTTATTAAGAACCTATTACTTGTCAGGCACTATGCTGACCATTAGGGGTACCAGGATAAAGGACAGGATGTACTTTCAGAGGTAGAGTCCAACGTTTTTCAATTTTTTTAAGTTGCAGCCCACAGTCAGAAATGCATTGTACATCACAACTCAGGTGTCTCTTGGCACATAAGAGTGTATTTCAAAAAGTTCATGGAAAGGGCCGGCCCGGTGGCGCACTGCTACAGTACGCCACTTGGGAGCGCGGTGGCGCTCCCGCCGAGGGTTCGGATCCCACATACAGACCGGTTCCCACTCACTGGCTGAGCGAGG